CCCTGCATCTTGTCCTGATGATCTAAGAAAGCAATGAAATGCCCAGTAAATATGTATATACATAAAGAAATCAGAACCGCGAATGAAGGTCAAAATATTACCTGAATTAGATGTAGCCGAACTTGAAGCTCGTACTTGCAACAATCCGGCCTGGTATAAGTTTGAATCTAAGATTACAAGCTTACAAGACCTTTGCTTTTTAGGTAATGATTATTACCTCAACTCGTCTCTTGGTTAACGTCTCCTTCTTGTAATCTGCACAAAGAAAAAAATACCGAGGTCAGTACTTCGTCAACATACGCCTTACTAAAAGACTAAAATCCAAAAAGACACTTACATAACGATTGATAGAGCTTGGGAACCACGTCCTCCCTATTCACCTCGACAGAATGAAACTGCCACTTCCCCGATACATAGAACCACTCTTCCTTCCATTTTCTTAATTGAGGAAGGGGTATCTAACACCAGAGAACCTCTCGTCCTGGGCCTAACGCTTGTGTACCACCAACCCGAGTTCTTCCCATCCTCCTTAAAAGTAAACAGAGAATCGAACTACTGGACACTTAACTCTGGATTCTCCATTTGGTTCCACAAAATAAGGGTGGCTATTAAGGTTCGCCACCCGTTAGGGCATAGCTGCGTGGGAGCTATGCCCCAGGAAGAAAGGATTTACGAATCACCCTAGGAAAAGGAAGCCTAAGACCGGCCTGAAGGATAGCCGAGTTCAGAGCAACACATTCCTCAGGAGGAGTGTCAGCTCGGTCAGATGGCTTTGGTATATCATAACTACGAAACTAGGGATGGTGTATTTAGCTCACCAGCTAGCTAACACATCCCCTGTCACAACCGACCTATAAGAACTCGCCCCCCATTTCCCAGAATTACTCTTGTCAACATCCTTACTGGATCTACATGCTTCCTTGGAACCCTCACGTCCTAAGTCCATGACAGGACGCCCTAAGTCAGTCGGGTTAATTACGAAAATAGGAATGGGCGTAAAAACTTCCCTATAACTAGAAGATGAACTCGTCGAGAAGGAGACTGACTCTTCCTGCTGGTTGCCCTAGGAATGAACTCTAGACTCGTCCGAACTCATGTATAAACTAGGAAACAAAGCACAAACTGAAAGGAGACAGCAGATAAGAACAGAAGGATACCTGGGAAACGAACTGGGAACACAACCTCACTCGAATACGGAAATACGAACTCAGGAAATCGCCCAAATATTTGAGAAAGTAAAATCAGCGAAATAGGAGGAGAAATGACTGGCCAAAAAGGGATTTAAAGAAAGAGAAGACGAGAGGGCACAATCTGAGCCATTCATCCAGAAATGGAGGGAAAATATCAACGGTTCAAAAATCTGGGAGACAAAATGACGTAGTTTTAGCCAAGTTTGTTGAAGAAGCTACTTATAAATGGCATACAGGTCATCCACCTCAAAAGATGACACTTGTCACAGCAACAAATATACTTCTTGGAGAAAGCATCACTAAGGTCAGCCCCCCTACGGTAGAGTTGACCTGGGGGGTAACTATTGACATCCGAACTCCAATCTAGTATAAATAGTTCGCTAACTCCACCTCAGTTAAATGTAAGTTCGGCCCACACCCTCAGGTCGGAGTTACCCGCAGTTATCTTAGAAAAAATCATGATTACATTTCATCACATCACCCTATCAATCAGATACACTTGCCACAGGTGACGTCGTCGCCACCCGGAACAACCAATTCCAAGTCCTTGAACTCCAACCCCTTACAGGTCATCATTACTTAGGTAATACATTGACACGTGACAACCGGCCTCATCGACCAATCACATGAGAATTTGGTTAACCAAGTTCCGAGCTCGGCACTGTTGTTAATTTGACTAATTTGATGTAATTTCAGCTAAAACTATATATAAATAGTTGAATAGGACTCTTGTAAAAAGGGAGCGAATTCATATAACAACTTATGGCATAATCACACTAAAATGACATCTTTATGATCTTTTTTAAGCATAAATCGCTTTTTTTCTTAAAGTTGGTTCAAAATTATCCTTACTAATTTTGACATCAACACTAATCATTCGAATTTGCACTAGGAATGGACTTGAGTTGTGATTAGAATAAACTTAATTTATTTTGAAAAAAAAAAAAGTTAAATACATTAAATATCAATTGTCAAAAACGTGTAAATGGAACTAAATAACATAATTGAGAACTGAAATAGATAAGTCCCATACAACCATCCATAATTTGATACAAGCAACAACTTTTCCTATTTCTAAGATTTAATTAGAATAAATTACAAAAAATAAAAAATAAAAAACTCTTTCGTCACATAATTCGAATTCGAATTCAATACAAAACTAGTAAATTTGAATTGAAATTTATTATCTATGGGAGTATACTCTTAACTCATCAAGTTTATTACTTATCAACAATACATACACTAACGAATTTCACTTGATTGCTAGTCTGTTCCGATTGCAAGTCATAAAAATTGAAAGAAAGAGTTCCAGTTTTTTTTTTTTTTTAATTATTAATGATTAAAAATGGAATCAAACGGAGTAGTGTGTGAAACAAAGTGGGATTAGTATAAGGAAACAACAGAAATTTAATTACAAAAATAACAGGGTTGTAATTCCGAAATTCACAGGTCATATACACCAAGTCGAGATATTGTATTTAATTTAACAAAACATAATTCGAATATGCCATTAATAACCAATATTTTTGTGCCTAATTCTTCCTATGATTTCCATTTGCTGCTGAAATTATTTATTTGTGAGTTGTGACATTCCCATTTTACAATCTCTTTTCAGCAATTGAAATTCCATTATCCAGTGTTGCCTTGCACGGAGTTCTGAATGTTCCCTTCACAAGAACCACCTCAGAAGCCCTAAAAATATCTTCAACTCCAAAACCAGGATTACAACCCTCAGAAAATTAATAAAAGCTTCTTCCAAAGGCTATTTCTTCTATTAATCATACTAATATCCTTCATCATCTTCACTACTTCAGCCAATTAAGCCTCTGTTTGACGGCCTTTTTTTGACGGACCGTACTATTTGGCCAGGCTTAAAGCCAGGGCCAAATCCAGGGGCTCCACTCGGTGCCCCCTTATTGGAGGGATGGCTGTTCCAATGGTGGCACCCCTGGATTTGGCCTTAGCTTTCGTTTTACACTTTTTTGATTGGAAAACAATGTTGTCTATAGTGAAGTGGGCCCTCAAGTGAAGAAATGCAATGTTATCACTTTCTTTACGTTGTACAATTGACCCTTTCTTTAATACAAAATTATGTGCTTCTAAAACTACCCTCAAAATTGTTTTGAACTCCCAACAAAAAATTGTCTTATGTGCCATTATGGGTAGTGTTGTAATTTGGAATTTTGTCATTTTAGGCATGAATGTAAAATCAATTTTCAGCCGTTGTACGTAAAGTACAAAAAAATTGAGACTGTCAGTGTGTAAGTACTTTTTTAATTAATATTAATTTACCAAAGTTAAAAATGAGCATGCTAAAATTAACTACTTCTAAGGTATAATCAGGTTGTGCACAAGAAGTCCAGAATGTAACCTAGCATCGATATGCTTAATTTTAGCATCTCTGTAGAAGCCATTTGATACATGGCTTCAAGCAACAAGTCTGTCATTGAAAGTGATACGAACAAACAAGATATCAGAAACACTTTAATACCATTTGTTGCGAATTTGACCAGAAGATTATGACAATAATGAAATAAACAAGAATAAAATAAAGAACATCAAAATTTACGTGAAAACTCAAAACGAGAAAAAACCACAGATCCACTATAGTCAATAACAATTGTGTTTACAATAAAATTTCAATGCTCTCAACTAAGATTTAAAACTCTCAATATATATATAAATGTCAACGAAACCCCTTGCTGCACCAGCTGCAATTCATAGTCCGGTTTTTCGGTCCAATTGAGCTCGACTCTTGCAGTTTTTTTCTGGGCAGATGAGTGATAGCAAGTGTTAAAAATGAGCATGCTACAATTAACTACTTCTAAGGTATAATTAGGTTATGCACAAGAAGTCCAGAAAGTAACCTAGCAACGATACGCTTAGTTCTAGCATCTCTGTAGAAGCCATTTGATACATGACTTCAAGTAGAAATTCCGTCATTGAAAAGAAAACCCGCTTGAGTTATGAATCATTCCCTATCAGCATAGCCACTTAGGCCATAAAATGTGTCGTTCTGCTATATGATACAGATGACAGATACCACTAAAAAGGCATTATGTATCTTAATCAATGTATATGTTGTTAAAATGAACTATCGGCAACAGACAAAAGAAATATAAAGCGAGCTGAACAAACTGATTCATGAGTTTAGGACATGGTAATGAACAACGAGTCCATAAGTAAATGGTACAATTTCTCTTTTTATTTTTATATGTCCAAACAAATGCATATATTCACAAGAAAACAACTTTTGCTGCTTAAAACAATTAGTTTACTTAAAATATTTCTTGAGATAAATATAAAAATGTCGGACCAGAAAGGTGTTTTACATACCATGTCACATTGCAGGTACACCTTATTCTCAACAGATTTTTCATTCTTCTGGGACCTTTCAGGTGCGGGTGGAGATGGCCGATGATGTGGAGGGGAACCTCCGGATTTGGAAAAATCAAAAAGTACATCATGGACCTGAGAATCGAAACTCAAATCAGACAATATAGAGCTGATGCTTGGGGTCCGATCATGAAACATTTGCCATAGTTACTCTCTCCAAATCACAGCTCCAAGCTTGTCAGATTTGTCACATCTGCGTCTATCTTCCGGCTTCAGCCCTGAAAATCCTCCGGGGAAAATTGGTATTCTTGAAAATGATCAACACCAGAATTATAGAATATTTAAAGCATAATCCAATTTGTTGTGTATGAGAATGTTGATTCTGAGCCAGTCATAGTTAACGATATGCACAAATAAACAATGATATAAACTGCCTGTTGACAAGGCATGTTTAGTAAGTAATACTATACAAGATTAAAACATTACAATAAACAATACTACTTTTTCTTCAACTTACGCAACAAGTTATAAATCAATGTCGGTAAAACAATTTCAAGGAGATAAACTACTAAAACAACCAAACAATGTGACCAACAATTTCCTAATGAATAGTTGGAGAATACAACACTTCAAAAAGAAAACTAAAAAACAGGGAAAAGAAAACTATATAACATTAACTACATTCAAGAAAGAAGAAACCATTTATGAAACTGAAGAAGATCCAATCTGAGCCACAGGTGGTATTAAACTTGGTGTTGAACCTGGCCACTTCGTTTCAGAAGATGGCTGATTGTCTGTATTGACACTTCTAATATCCTCAACCATTTTTACTACATTGGCCATTTTGGGTCTCTGTTCCGGCATTCTTGCAACACAACTCATGCCTATTTGCAACATTGCTACCATCTCTTCTTCTATGTTAGGATACCTCAAGAGCTCGACGTCAAACACTTCACCAGTCCATTCCTCACGAACTACAGAGTGGACCCACCGGACCAAGTGGATAACCTCTTCACCACCAACAGCGTGGACAGGGGACTTTCCAGTGAGAAGTTCAAGTAGGAGGACTCCATAGCTGTAGACATCAGATGCCTGGGATACCTTTCTTGTGTCTGTTATTTCCGGGGCACGATACCCTGCAGTTCGCATTATTCGTGGTGTAATTGGACTCATCAATGGTGCCAAGCCGAGATCGGACACACAACCGTATTTTTGTGAGTTAAGGAATACATTTGAGGCTTTTATGTTTCCATGAACAAGCTTCCCAACATTCTGTAAGTGGATGTAAGCAATTCCCCTTGCTACACCGATTGCAATTTTCATCCGTGTTTCCCAGTCTAATGGAATCCGATCTTCACCTCTTTTTGCTACAAAAAAAAAAAAAAATCAGATTTCAGGTCCCAATTCATTGTGGAGTGGTGAAAATGTTCAGAAACTGACCTATTGTATCAGTTTTGTCCTTACAAAATTATATCAATTTTAGATCATTTAGCCTGGCATGCTAAAAGAACAAGACTTTACCTAAAGTTAATTATGGCTTTATAAAGCACAGCAACTTTTGCTTACATACAGTAGAATCTGAGCAAAATTGAACAGATCGGGAGAGCATAAGATTAAACAGATTTTTTTATTTGATCAGACCAATATGTGAATCCTGTAGTACTTCTCTTTATGATAATTTAGTCTAGCGTGTTAAAGCCAGATGACATTACCTGAAGTAGATTGTAGCCACATTTTAAAAAATAAAAAATAAAAATAAAGACGAGAGATAGAGATTGTCTCTTGTAAATTTGATTGATTGAGTCAAATTAAGAGACAAAATAGAGATTATCATGTTTAGCATACCATGTAGCAATACAGAAACACTCCCCAGATCGTAGAAATCATATACCATGAGTTTTTCATCCTTCGAATAGTAGTAAGATCTCAGCGGAGCCACATTCTCATGCCTGATATTTCCAACAACTTCCATCTGCTGCTCAAAATCCTTTCTTCCAATACTAACTTCCCTCAATCTCTTTACTGCAACAGTGGTTGCATCCTCTAGTGCTGCCTTATATGTAGTACCAAATGTTCCCTTCCCAAGCACCTCAGCAGAAGCCCTAAACAAATCTTCGAGGTCAAATGCAAGATTACAACCCTCAAAGAAAACAAGCTTTCCATTCGTATCATGACGCTCGGAAGTTGTCCTCTTGAGGGATTTTTCCTTCTTCTCTGACTTCACTGCAATCGCTTTCTCGTCTGCTTTCTTTCTGTTGGTAACAATTAACAACAAGGCAATCAACACAAATGCTAGTGCACTACTGCCAATTACAATTCCCAGTATGGCAGATTCACTAAATTTTGAAGAATGCTTCTTGGGTTGGGCTGTGGGGGGAAGAACTGGAGGCTGTGATGTTTCGGGTGAAATCTTATTGCCAACAAATGCTGAACTAGGAAATCTAAGAAGAGACCGAGGCACAACTCCAGTAAGATTATTGTTGGACAGATCTAATAGTTGCAAACTAGGGATATTCAGATCAGGAATATCACCAGAAAGAGAATTATTAGCAAGACCCAAAGCAGTCAAATGAGTCAAATTTGTAATTGAAGAAGGAATACTCCCATTGAAACCATTGTTTGACAAATTTAATCCATTAAGATTTTTCCAAACTGAAAAATTCCATGGCAATGGACCCTGAAAATTATTGAACTGAAGATAAAGACCAGTCAAATTCCCAAGCTCCAGAAGATCAGTTGGAAAAGGACCACTAAAAGCATTAGATCTCAGACTCAGGATCTGAAGTGCCGATAAGCGGCCAAGAGTGTTCAAAGGAATGTGGCCACGGAATCCAATTCCAGGCAATCGAACAGCGATCACTCTTGAATTATCATGATTACACGTGACACCAGTCCAATTGTTGCAAACTGAAGTTCTCTCATCCCAGTTCAGATTCCTCGAGTGGGAAATATTATTGATGAAATCAAGTAAGGCGTGTTTGTCTTCAATGGGTTCAGCTCTTGCTAGCATGTAAAGACTTCCAAAGAGAAAAATTGCTTCAAAAAATAACTTGATTCCCATTTTCCTTTCACTCTCCCCAGATCCAAACTGAAAGCCCTAGCCCTCAAATAAAATTATACATTTCAGCCATCTCTCTACAGATTTCAAAACCAAAAGAAGCATAATTAAATAGTGAAACGGAATTTATACTTAATACACATGTTACCATCTCAAATTCATAGCCCTTTGTTTTAATATTCCTAATACATTAGGTCAACCAACCCCACTAATAATTAATAGTTTTTAATAGGGGAAAAAAGGAATTAAATAGAAAAAGCCAATTTCTTCGGTGGGTTGTTCATAACATGCTACAATTTTCATGAATTAAACAGAATAAACTAAATTTTACCAGCAACTAATCTCAAATTCAGTAGAAAATAAACAGTCAAACACTCACCAGTCACCATCAAAACCTCTGCTACAACACACCACCAACCAAAATTCTGAAAATCAACAAAACCTTCAATCCCATAAACTCCAAATCAAAGACAATTACAAACTTAAAATTCAGAGCAAAAGAAATAAATACGTAAAGAAGAAGAGAGAAAAACGTGCTGGTTGGTGCTGGATTGAAATGGGGGTTGGGGACACAGTAATAAATGATTGAAAGTGTTGAGAGAATGGAAAAGATATACAATGTCTAGAGCGCTCTCATGCATTTATGAGGCGCGCGAACAAAGGAAATTGCACGTGAGGTAGCTTGGGTAATATGCATCGGTGATCAAGTGCAATGCAAGGAACCTTTTGTTCCACTTTTGTTTAGGGAATACATTTTTAAAATAAAGAATTTGCGGTTGAAAAATGAGGAAAAAAATTTTGAACTTACGTATAATATTATTTTATTAAAAATTTTGTGATTGAAAAAATAAAAGAAAGAAAAATATATTTTATAAATAATGGGGATCAATGAAAGATGAAAACTCTTATAGCCCTTGTCTGGCTCTTATTTTTTCCAAATTTTATGTCTGGATTAATATTTTTGTTTAAATGTGTAGTTGAAAAAAAAAAGAAATTTTTCGACTTACATGTAATATTATTTTATGAAAGATTGTATAGTTGAAAATAAGAGATATGAGAAAAACAAAAGAGAATGAGGGCCAAACTCATAGTTATTTTTATTACGTATTTATACAATAAAATATTTTGCATATAAATTTAAAACTTTTTCATACTTTTTCACCACGTGCTCACCATAAAATCATAATTCAAAATATCATTTTTCCTCAATTTCTTTTTATAATGACCATCAAAAAAGGGCTAATTCATTGTATGAATGATAAAGTTTCGAATAAATATATTTTTTGAAAATAAGACATGTTTGATAGGGATTAAAATTTAAATTTTGATCTCAATCAAAATGAAAATCAACAATTAATTTTAACTACATATTTATAAGTTCTACAACTTTTCAATCATATATTTCTTCATTTTTTTAAATCAGAATCCACTAAAAATTAATCTATTCTAAGAGCCCGTTTGGTACGGATTAAATTCTAATTTTAATCTAAATCAAAATCAAACAATTAATATTAATCACATCTTTCATGAATTTCACAACTTTTCAACCACGCATTTCATAAACTTCTATCACACTCTCTAAAAAATCTAATTTTAATCCCTACCAACCCAGCTATAAAAATTCTAATCTGAGACTATTTTTCGTTCACCTAAGCTTACAAGAAGAAAGGTTTGATCAAGAAGTTGTTTTTTAGCCGAGTCTGTCAAATAGACATGATGACAAAATTGGAGTGGTTAAGAATCTTAAGATTATAAATGTTTAGGTCCAATCAGCAATAAATAGAAAGTAGGAGTGGGTCCCTTTGGAAAATTTTTACAACTTTTATTTCGATGACACATTACAAATCAATGATCCACCTATCTATATATAACACTTGTTTGATACCCATTGGTTTTAAAATAAAATTCTCTCAATTCTATTTTCAATCACATATTCTTCAATAAAATAATATTATATATAAATTCAAAATTTTTCGCTATTTTTTAATAACATATTTTCCATCAAATCATTATTCTAAAATGCATTTTTTGGAGAATAATGGGGTTCAAACAGGCCCACAATACTTATATCCATCACTAGTTTTTATCTATTTATATATTAAATTATTTTTTAAATTTGTTCCCAATGGAGTTTAAGTATCTGTTTGACCCTCATTAATATTATAATCCATTTTCTCTCTTCTAATCAATGACAGGACAGCGGGCTGATCCATGAAGCTCCATAAACACTTTCCTCCAATGAACAACTCCTTAGTTTGGGATAGGGGTGGGTGTTTGATTGGTTCCTTAGTTAAAGTCAAAAATGTGATATATCCTGTCTGTCTACGGCATCACGCACTTCTCTTATTTATTTTACACTGAGCTGATCGTGTCGACCAACAACAGAGCTGAGCAACTGGCTGAGAAGAGATGAAACTAGACATATATTCTCCAATAAAATAATATTACAAGTAATCCCGAATTTTTTCTTATTTTTTAACTACACGTTCTTTTAAAATATATATATATATATATAATGGAAGCCAAATGGGACGCTAAGTTGAAAGACTTTTGAATTACGTGATATTATTGTCTAATTAGTAGACAACAATATTAAAATTAGTCTTCAATTGTTCTATCTACAATTCAATAACTTTGTTTGTACGTCTTTTATTTGCTTAAAATTATAAAAAAAAAAAATTCACATCTAAATTTGTGTGGGAAATAGAAATTTTATTCAGTCAGCATATTTAACACGGTCTTTAAATCCAGGTGAAACTCTATGTGTCTATTTTTCTTTTATAACGTCGACTTGAAATATCTTTATCAACTTGAATATTTTAAAATTTTATTCATTCTAAAGTGAAAATCGTGATCCATTAATGTGCATTCTCATTGAGATCTTATGTGATCACAACTTTACAAGCCAATGTATATTAATATTATATTTCTTGATAATACGATGGAAGAACAAAATAAAGTAACGAGCTATTAGACAATTGTAATTTATTAACAAAGAACAAGCTCACTTAATATTGAGATCCTCTTTTACCTATGTAAGGGTGAACGTGGTTTACTTAGATTGTTTGTCGCAAATTTTAAATCAAATTACTTAAAGCAGTTTATTTATTATTATTTTTTGTTTTAAATCAAACCAAACCACTTCACTTTCTAAATAAAACCAATTTTTTCAATTTGATTCGATTTAAGATCATGGTTTAGTAAATAAAAATTAACTTACATTGAACAAGGGGTCCCGTTTGATTCTCATTTTTATCAAAACACATTTTTCTCTCTTTTTTTTTAACAACACATTCTTCAATAAAATAAATTCTTTGTTTGAGCCCCATTTTTTATTAAAAATATATATTCTTAAACAGTATTTTGACATCATTTCAACTACACATTCTTCAATAAAATAATATTACACGAAAATCTAAAACTTTTCCTTATTTTTTAACCACACATTTCACATCATTACACTATTCAAAAATGCATTTTCTTGACAAAAATAGGGTCAAACAAAGGCAATATTACATGTAAATCAAAAAAATTTCTTTATTTTTCATCCATACATTCTCTATCAATCTATCATTTTAAAATTCATTTTTCCATAAAAATGGGTGTCAAACGCCCATATAAAAATTAGTATAAAATGCCACGTTAAAACATATACATTAGTATCTTTACAAAAACATTACAAACCAAAGTTATGCACTTTTAAGCATTACAATGCAACAACAATATTGTAGAAATAGTTTAGTTTCTAACTTAGTAGATATTAATTAGTACAACATCTTCAATTGTAACACATGATTCATTCTATAAACAAAAATAAAAATGTAGTAAATGTATTATTAATTATAGTTAAATGATATTAAATGACTAAAAATAAATAAATAGAAATATCAACTACAATAATACCAAATATTGAAGAATCACACATAATAATGAAACCACTACAATTAACAGTAAAATTTAGCAACTAAGATAATAATAAAAATAATCAATAGTAAATATAGTAACATCCAGAATAAAAAATAAAAAAAAAATAGTGTTTAACTAAAAGTTTAAGGGAATCCAGAACAAATCAGAACAAAACAACACAACTATCAATAAACATAGCAAATAATTACCAAAAATATTGAGTAAACTAACTAGAAAATTAAGTTGAAATCCCAAAAAAAAAAAAATTATTAGTAGAAAGAAAATAAATGGTGTAAATTTGTGATGGACAATAGACGATATGTTTCAAAAGCACTTTAGCCAACTTGAGGGTCTTGTATTCTCAATTGTGTTGATTGATAGGTAATTGGATATGGTTTAATTAGTTAATTGGGAATTGTAATTGACTAATTAAATATTGAGTTTTCATTAGACCATGTATTGGATTTAATTGGGTTGAGTCTAATATGAATGCATCTTTATAAATGGGATGTGTTATTTTAAATTGGACAAAATAAAATTTTATTAATTTTTTTCAATTTTTTAAAACTATTTGATGGTTTGAAATGATTTGCAAAAATTAAAATTAAATCAAAACACTTTAAAGTGATTTTTATTTGGTTCAAAATCAAAATGTTTAAGAAAGCTTTTTCGGCTCGGTTTGTAGTTTGACGACTTAATTGTTCAGCCTTACACTTTTACAATTTTTTTATTTAAGCATCGCAATGAGAAAATAGAGTTGCATCTAAATTTATGTGGGCAATTTTTTAGTTAATATAAATGTGAATTAAGAAGGAAAAGAAAAGCATGTAGTCATATAACGTATTCTAGTGTTGATTAAAATGTTATGTGGAAATTACGTCTAGCATATGTTTATAAATAAATATTCAAAATTTACATTTCAAAGTTTTAAATTCCATGAATACTGTAATTTTAAAGTAAAATTAAAAACCATAAAATCCCCTAACTCCTTAAAATTAGAGAAGTAATTAACGGACAAAAAGTTGTCATCACAAAATCAAAGCGGATTTATCTCATCTTCGTTCATCTGCCTTCCAACACATTCTCAAACATTCTTACAAAAATCATAATCTATCTCATTCGTTATCTCTTTCCGTCTGTTCAATCAACTCTCAAATAGTGCTCAAGTATATTCAGCCTAGATTAGAAACCCTAAATGTCAATCGACTCCAAAATGGTTTGACAAAATATTCATACAATATAAAGATTTTTTCGAGCCTACATCCATATTTGTAATTACCCAGTACAGTTACAGCCGTTAAGAACTTGCGATGGTAACCCCTAATCATTGCGAAGAGTCTCACTAGGAACCAAGCCAATCGTGAAGCTGCAACAATGGCAGGGATTTTTTAACCAAAAAATGAAAAATGGAGTTTTGTACTTTGGTAGCAAGTGAATCTTTAACATTTGTTCATTTGATAGTCTGTCGTGCCCAAGTGAAATTAGCCACTTGGAAGTTACTGTTAGACGTTAAAGAAAGTATCTTGATATATATAAAATTGTAAAATTTCCAATCTGGATAGATATGTCAATACGCTTTCCAACTAAGTGCTCCCACTTTGCCTCAAATGCTTTGTATGCTATCCATCCTACAACCCACTAAACTGGTTGTATGGATAGAATTGTGATAATCAATAGTCATGAAGACTGGTTAACACAGGTAATAGACATTATGCTATGTATTATTTTTCCTGTGATAATCAATAATCATCACACTCCACTCATAATACATTGATTTTGATTTTTGCATTTGTATGAGGATTTTAGATGATAGAGCAATGCACATCAACATTATTGTACAACATTTGTTTATTTTCCATATTTACACGATGTAATGTGAAGTGTAATATAAAATCTTCATGCCTACTCCTTATTGCACAAAAAAATAAAAAATAATTTCAAACTGTACCTAACTGTTCAACGTCATTTAGGTACTTACATTTCATAGGCATGTAATTCCTAGCTATAACTTTTTATGTATGTATATTTATCATAGAATTATGAGGCACATTAGAAGGGAAAATGACACTGTTAACCATACAATTTTTCAAGAATGTACAATCATTATTATAGAGTATTCATTTCGTTTAATAATTAAAAACTCACGCTCATTATTTCATTGGATACCACAATACAACACGAAGTTGTTAAGTTGCATTTCATCACATCACATTGCATTCTTTCATTTCATTATTCCAAACATAAATATGTATTGAATAAAATCGTGAGAATATGAATTTCTTTTTCTATTGTGTTATATAGTTAGTTGACGCTATTAACTGGATTAATCGACAAGAATTAGAATTTGCATCAACCCGTTACAGAATTGAGGGAAGCATCAACATATGCTACTAATATGACCTCATAACCACTCTTAATCTCAAGTTTAATGAGCAGCAGAGGGAGTTTCTTCGCCGAGTTTGTCAAATAGACATGATTGACAAAATTGAAGTGGTTAAGAATCTTAAGATTATAAATATTTAAGGTCCAATCAACAATAAATAGAAAGGAGTGGGTCCCTTAGAAAAAATTAAAACTAATAATAGTTTGGTCAACTTTTATTTCGATGACACATTACATATCAGTGATCGACCTATATATAGCACTTGTTTGATCCCCATTCATTTTAAAATATATTTTTTTTCTTTTATTTTCAATCATACATTTTTCAATAAAATAATATTATACGCAAATTCAAAATCTTTTGCTATTTTTTAACATATTCTCCATCAAATCATTATTATAAAATGCATTTTTGGAGAATAATGGGGTTCAAACAGGCCCATTATACTTCTATCCATCACTAGTTGCTATCTATTAATATATTAAATTATTTTTTAAATTCGTTCCAAATGGAGTTTAAGTATCTGTTTGACCCACATTAAAATTATAATTCATTCTCTCTCTTCTTATCAATCATATGTTCTCCAATAAAATAATATTAAAAGTAATCCCAATTTTTTATTTATTAACCACACATTCTTAAAAAAAATTATACCAACCATTAAAAGTTCAAATAATGAAGGCCAAACAAGGCGCTAAGTTTAAAGACTTCTGAATTACGTGATATTATTGTCTAATAAGTAGACAACAATATTAAAATTAGTCTTCAATTGTTCTATCTACAATTCAATAACTTTGTTTTTGTTTGTATGTCTTTTATTTGCTTAAAATAAAAATAAAATCACATTGAAATTTGTGAGGGAAATAGAAATTTTGTTCAATCAACATATTTTACATGGTCTTTAAATCTAGATGAAACTTTATATGTCTATTTTTCATTTATAACGTCGATTTGAAATATCTCTACCAACTTGAATATTTTAAAATTACTCATTCTGAGGTGAATCGTAATCCCTTAATGTGCACTCTCATTGAGATCTTGTATGATCACTACTCTACAAGCCAATGTATAATATATTTCTTGATAATACGATGGAAGAACAAAATCAAGTAACAAACTATTAGACAATTCTAATTTATTGACAATGAACAAGCTCACATAATATTGAGACCCTCTTTTACCTATGTAAGGGTGAACATGGTTGACATAGATGGTTTGTAGCAAATTTTAAATAAAATTACTTAAAGCGGTTTATTTATTTATTCAAATCAAATCAAACCACTTCACTTTCTAAATAAAACCATTTTTTTTCAATTTGATTCGATTTAAAACCATGATTTAGTAACTAAAAATTAACTTACATTGAACCGGTTAAATTATAAAAATTAGTATAAAATATCACGTTAAAACATATACATTAGTATCTTTACAAAAACATTACAAAACCAAAGTTAGACACTTTTAAGCATTACAATGCAAATATTGTAGAAATAGTTTTGTTTCTAACTTAGTAGATAAGAGTTGATCCTACATCCATTCAAAAAGACACTAAGACATCCAATCGAAGAAAGTGGAAGTCATGAAGGAGAGGAAGCGGAAGCTAATAACAAAAGGAAGAGAAGAAGTGAAAACTCCTATCCGATCAATGAAAGGAATGACTAAATGCCAAAGGCACTGAAGTGAAGGTTCAACGGAATCAAGAAATGGTTCTGACATTTATCCCCAAACCCACAATGATTGATTCTGGAAAAAGAAGCTTCAACTAATACAGAAAAAGGTAATTCAAAAAATGCTTAACTCATGTTGATTCCACAAGTGTATTTCACTCAATTGCCTAACTGACTATTACTGACATAGGGCCATTATCTGGAGTATGTCACTTGGTCTGGCCTGGCTGATGAAAGATCTCGTTTTTACGATCATCTTTCTTAAGCCAAAAGAGGAGCTTAGCTCTCATAGGGCTCGGCTACTAGAGCTCGAGGCTTTCTTTCGTCCATCATAGAATATCAGTCTATAAATAGAGGAGTCAGTAGACAAGCGTCAACACTTTAGGTCTCATTTCTGCTACTTAGCTCAATGCGCTATCCCCAGATCTCGAATCATTGGAATTCACTTTGCTTGTTTTCCATTCTTTTCTTTCCTGGTCAAACTGGTCGGGAATCAATTAGTAGTACGTCCTGCACTTGATCGAAGCAAAGCGGATACCACTTAGGAGGATTCTAGGGATTGGTGAATTAGGGCAGTGAGGGATGGTGTGACATGTCTGGTCATCGCATTGATGAGAACGATGGCCGACGATATCCAAGGAGATTAGGCACCGTCGACTTTTTTACCTCAAAGTAACTCGTGCTTTTCATCCTTCCCTATCTAGAGCTGGAATTTGGCCAGAAAAACACTTTTTTTGATCTTCAATTGTAACAAACAATTCATTCTATAAACAAAAATAAAAATGTAGTAAATGCATTAATAATTAGGCCATGTTTGAGTCATATTTTTTCAAAAAAATACATTCTTAAACAGTGATTTGATATCATTTCAACTACACATTTTTCAATAAAATAATATTACACGCAAATTCAAAAATTTTCTTTATTTTTTAACCACACATTTTTCATCAATACACTATTCAAAAATGCATTCTAAGAAAAATAATGTGGCTCAAACAAGGGCTATAGTTAAACGATATTAAATAACTAAAATTAAATAAATAGAAAGATCAATTGCGATAATACCAAATATTGAAGAATCACACATAAGAATGAAACCACAACAATTAACAGTAAAAATCTAGCAACAAAGATTAAAAAATAAATAATAAATTTAGTAACTTGACCAGGAAATTGAAATGCAAATAAAAAAATAGTGTTTAACTAAAACTTCAAGGGAGCCCAGCACAAATTAGAACAAAACAACACAACTAACCATAGCAAATAATTACCAAAAATAATGAGCAAACTAACTAGAAAATTGAGTCGAAATTCCCAAAAAAAATTATTTGTAGAAAGAAAATAAATAGTGTAAATTTGTGATGGAAAATAGACGAGATGTTTCAGTAGCACTTTAGCCAACTTGAGGGTTTTGTATTCTCAATTGTGTTGATTGATGGATAATTAGATATGGTTTAAATAATTAATTGGGATTTGTAATTGACTAATTAAATATTTAGTTTTCATTAGAGTGTGTATCGGATTTAATTGGATTGAGTCTAATATGAATGCATCTTTATAATCGGGATGTATTTTCTTTTTAATTGGATAAAATAAAATTTAATTAATTTTTTTCAATTTTTTTAAACGATTTGACGTTTGAAATGATTTGCAAAAATTAAAATTAAACCAAAAAACTTCAAAGCGATTTTTATTTGGTTCAAAATCAAAGCGTTTAAGAAAGCGTTTTCGGTTCGATTTGTAGCTTGAGGATTTAATTGTTGATTTTTTGTCAAAATGAGTTTTGTAACATTGATTTTATGGGATAATGTATAATTAAAAGGTAAGGAAAATTTAAGTTTACGAGCAAAATTATTTTGTTGAAAAAAAAGTGATTGAAAAGTGAAATTGAAATTAAAAAAACTTGAACTTTTAGAAAATAAGGTTCAAACAAAGCTGTAGCCGATATGCATGGCATTGGCCAGTAAAAAGCTTAGAATATTTCTTCTTGGCCCCAAAAATCCAGGGCCCATGTGGCCCTGGCTACATAGTAGGGCCCAAGAACTTAACCCTGTCACTGTTAAATTGATAATACAAGATACAGAGAGGAAAGTGAAAGGAGTCTAAGGTTTCTTGATTAATGAATAATAATTAAAATTCTGGAAAATAAAGGTTTAAATAGTTAGATAAAAATACTAATCTGCCTTTAAATAAAACAAATATTATTTAATATCTCCCCTCAAACTCATGATACTGCTGCAAGAAGTATCAAGAGTTTGTCAAACAAAAAACGAAACCATGAAATAGAATGTGACTTTGTAAACAAGTCAGCAATTTGCATGGTGGAAGGAACAAAAGGTGACGTGACAGTACCGAGCTAATAATGATGTCGAGTGACATGACAATCAATATCAATATGTTTGGTCCTCTCATGGACCACTGAATTGCACACAATTTAAATAGCACTTTTATTGTCACATTATAATAGAGTAGGTTGACAAATAAATACACCCATATCTACAAGCAACCAATGTAACCAAACCATCTCACAAATAGTAGAAGCCAAGGCAGGATACTCTGTTTCGATGGAAGATCTAGAAACAGTATCTTGCTTCTTACTTTTCCTAGGACTAAGAGAATCGCCAAGAAATATACAGAAGCCAGTGGTAGATTGACGATTTGTAGGATCACTAGCCCAATCTACATCACAATATCCTCGCAATTCTAATGGAAAAGTAGCTAAAAGTAGAAGACTCTAAAATTGAGTGCCCCTAAGATACCTCAAAATGAGAAGAACGGCAGCCTAATGAACTGTAATAGGTGAGGTAACAAACTGACTAACTATATGAACAACATGTGCAATATTCGGACTAGTGAGAGTGAGATAAACCAAGCTACCAACAATAGTACGATATAAACTAAGATCTGATAATGGAGAACCATCAGAAGAAAAATACAGAGTATTAAGCTTAAGAGGTGTATCAACAGTCTTATTATCAATAAAACGAGCATGCTCAAATATATCTACTATATATTTAGACTGAGAAAGAAGATAACCTTTTCGGTGAAGATGCAACTTTAATGCCCAAAAAATAGCAGAGTGAATCCAAATCTTTCATTGCAAAATAACGAGCTAACTCTGACTTTAGTTTTGCAATCCCATCAGTATCGTTACCAGTAATAATCATGTCATCAACATATAAAGGGAGCAAAATGTGACCAACAGTTGTACATTTGTAAAATAAAGCTATATTATGATGACTAGGACAAAAACCAAGTGAAGTAATCGCATAGAAAACTTCTCAAACCAAGCTTGAGGTGCCTGTTTAAGACCTTAGAGAGCTTTTCAGAGTTTGCAAACTTCACCAGGTTGATGAGAAACACCAGGAGGGGAACCATATATGCTTCTTCTTATAGATCTCCATTCAAGAAAGCATTTTTAATATCCATCTGAGATATACTCCATTGATGAACAAAGGCAACTGCAATAAAAGTGCAAATAGTAGTCATTTTTGCAACAGGTGCAAAAGTCTCTTCGTAATCCATACCATACTCCGAAGAATACCTCCTAGCAACTAATCATGTTTTATATCTTTCAACAGATCCATTTGACTTGGTTTTAATTTTATAGACCCAATGAGAACCAACTGCTCGTTTTCTTGGTGTTAAAGTTACCAAGTCCCAAGTGTGTATCTAATATAGATTAGTGTGTGAGGTTGGGATCCTATTAATCAAATATTCACTAGGAGTAAAAGCAGAGAGTAAGAGGGAACGGGTACTTTTGACAGTATGTCTATGTTTCCTTTCGACAACACCACTTTTGTTATGGAGTGTCTGTACAAGCAGTTAGGTGAATGGTTCCATCAGAAGCAAGTAAATTAGTGAAGGTATATATATACACACACACACACACACACACACACACACACACACACACACACACACAAATCACATCAAAAACATTTGATAATAGCAGAATGCAGAGTTTTCACAAGTGCTCGAAATGTATTGAAAATACTAAAAAAGTCGGACCAACGTTGCATAAGGAAAACCCAATAGTAACGAGTGCAATCATCAATAAAGGAAACATAATATCGTGAATCCCCTTTAGTGATAATGAGATAGGGTTTCCATACTTCAGAATGAACAAGATCAAATGGGGCAACAAAAATAGAGATATTTTTACTAAAAGGTAAAGCAGAAAATTTAGTTAATTCGAATCCATTAAAATCAGAAATATCATCTGTTTTCAAATTTCCTAATGCTCCTGTAGAAACTAAGAATTTAAACGAGATGCTGAAACATGATGAAGACAAGAATGCCATAAATAAAAAATAGAAGACAAATGACTCAAATGAAAAGATGATAAATCAACACTAGAAAGTGCAATTTCTAGTACTTTAAGCGTGTCCAAAACATAGAGTCTGCCCTAATAATTAGAAGAAGAAAAAAAAGACTAAATATCTAGATTCGCACAATTGACTAACAGAAACAAGATTTAAGGTAAGACTAGGAATATGGTAGATATTATTGAGAGACAAACTATGTATATCAATAGAACCAACACCTGCTATGGGCATAGGAATACCATCAGCAGTCACAACTGACACAAGAGATTTTTGGAGATAATAAAACAAATGATGATAAATCAGGTGACATATGATGGGAAGCCCCAGAATCTAAGACCCACAAAGAGGATCACATACCTGAAGATCTGGAAGATGACAAACCTATAGAAGAGGTAGACATTACATGTGGCGATGTAGCATTTGACTATGTTGCTTGAAACTTCTGAAACTGCTCAAACATGGATAGATCCATCGATGGTGCAGCCACTGCTATATTAGGCTGAGGTGGCTGGTTTCCAAATTTCCAGGATAGAAGAACATGTCGTTGCTATTGTTGTCGAGGTCGCTATTGTTGCTGTCATTGTCAAGATTGTTGTTGCGCAATTCTATTCAATAATAGAGGACAATGTCCCTTCCAGTGACCCTTCGCTTACAGTGACATTCATCATGAGCAACATTCGAAAGAGACGTACTTTGATTATTGGTCTATGATTTCTAAGGCGTAACGAATACAAATGGATGATGGAGCTATTCCTTATCTGCATGAGATTTGAGGCGTATTTCCTCAGCTAACAATTCCCAAACCACAAAATCAATAGAAGGACTGTGATGCAAGATTGTCCCACGGAGTCCCTCAAAAGCATCACGTAAGGCCATAAAAAACTATACCAGTCTTTGTTCTTCCCTTCGAGTGATAGAGGCAAAAATGCCTGTAAATCTACAGATTTGTGAGTGCTAATTGATTCCATAAATCTATCATAGTAGAGTAAAACTCTTGAACGCTCATACTTTTTTGTTAAAGAGCGCAAATAGCTGTCTCTAATTGATATTGTTTTACAAAATTAGACAGTGTATAAAGTCTTGCCAGATGTTCCTAAACCTCCTGGGCAGTATCATACTTAGCCAATTGCGTACCTATTGATTGTACAACAGAATTATTAATCTACGTAATAATCTTTTAATTATCAGATTCCCAATTATCTATCAACTCCACATAATTGACAAACTTATCATTTTTCATTTTTTTTGGTTTAATAGAAGTGCCGGACTTTTTACCCGTCAAAATTTTTGTCATCACATAACTCCAGTAGGAATAATTTTCCCATTTAATTGCACACTAATAGACTAAAGAAAATCATCCTTATTTCCAACCACTGTGAAATAAACAAAATACTATCAAATCAAAAAAATAAATGAGAATCAACGGAAGCCAAAAAATACTTAACTTGCTTGTCTCCAAAATGCACACAAAAATCCTTCCATAAGAACTAAAATTGGAACTGAAATTGGGACGACAAAGAATCAAAAAAAAAAAACGATGACCAATTTCAGACAACTACAAACTAATTAAGACATTCACTTATACATTCCCATCCCAACTATTTTTTATTTATTTTATTATTATTATTATTATTATTATTATTATTATTATTATTATTATTATTATTACTTTGAAACACAGGAACCAATGAATTTGAGCTCTTGTTTTTCGATCAAAAGTTCCATGGATAGATCGGGCCCCATTTTGTTTTCGTTGAATTGGTTTAATGCCTTCTACATTCACTGTACAGTTATCTCCAACCTCGTAATACCCAATATTAGGCAACCAATCCAAACCAATTAAAACAAAATCCAAAATTGAGCCAAGTGATTCACACACCCGTATCCATGCACGTACTCCTTGGACGAAGAAAAGAAACGCAAATAAGCTATTACTTGTCAATGAGGCGATATGCATCCTTATAACTTTCTTGCGTAAGATCAATAAATTTTATGGGATTGCGGCTCTGTTACCATGTTAAATTGATACTGTTGACCCCAAAAAGTGTTGCCAACAGATGCCGGTCCCACCCGCGCACACGTAGACGAATGTCCAACACGCTAAGACACGTGGACGGTCTAAAATGGGCGGTTCAAAGGGCATGGGAGTAGCCCAACAACGCAGGACGGTGACGTTCAGAATCCGGCAGGTTGTTCGTGATCCGATTGTATAATAATTACCAACCGGTGTTCGTAAATGTGTATAAACTCGATTTGTGTATTGCAAGTAAAGGAGAGAGAGTTGAGTAAATTGTAGTTCTTTGTATTGATTCTTGCATTAGCCTTTTGATATTACACAAGGGAAGTACTTATAGTGATACATGTGAAATGGGAGCCCTTGGATGAGGTGGCACGTGGCCTCATCTATTCGATTCAAACATCTTATTCTAGGCATGGGGCTTGACTTGCTAGCTTGCTGCGCATTTATTGCTTGTGCAGAGCCTCCATACTAGTGACAAGACTTGACCTTTATGCTTATGACACACGTTCCATCAATCATTTGAATAAGATATTTGTGTAGGCGATCTCTTAGGAGAAGTGACCATGGAGGATGCTCCCTTGTGGTTCGGAGGCTCCTGCATTAGCTTTGGGACTTCAGCCATTTCATACAATACTTTCCTTGAGGGCTTGAGCTAACTTCAACCAGCTCCAGCATCATGGCTTCGACTCATAGGCCTCAACATGTGGACTTCGGTTACATTCACAGGCCTTGGTAAAAGGCGCCTCGACTAGTAGACTTCGGCTTGAAGGGCTTTAACCATAGCCCCACCTCGGCTGAAGTGCCACGTGGTTCGGCCTGAGTGGGCCATTGGCCCAGGTAGGTTGGCCAAGTATGACAATACGCAACAATAGTCCCCCAAGTACAAGTATGGTCATTTATGTAATGCGTGGACTTTAATGAAGTAAAAATTGAAGGAATTTTTGAACCCCAAATAATAGTCCTCCAAATCCAAGTATAGATATTTATGTCATGGTTGGAGTTAGAGAAGTGCTGCTGTAGGTGAACGATAAAGAGACCGAGGCTGTGTTGAAGTTGAAGCCGAGGTGGTTTGGGAAACCGAACCTCCAAGGCTTGTTGGCTGAATGTTGAAGAGGAAGCCGAGGTCGTGGGCAAACCGAACCTACGAGGCTTGTTGGCTGAATGTTGAAGAGGAAGCCGAGGTGGTGGGCAAACCGAACCTGTGAGACTTGTTGGCTGATTGTTGAAGAGGAAGCCGAAGTGGTTGGGAAACCGAACCTGCGAGGCTTGTTGGTTGATTATTGAAGAGGAAGCCGAGGTGGTTGGGAAACCCAACCTGCGAAGCTTGCTGGCTGATTGTTGAAGTTGAAGCCGAGGTGGTTGGTGAACAGAACCTGTGAGGCTTGTTGGCTGATTGTTGAAGAGGAAGCCGAGGTGGTTGGGAAATCGAACCTGCAAGGCTTGTTGGCTGATTGTTGAAGTTGAAGCCGAGGTGGTTGGGAATGATTGTGCGTCGATAGCTGTGCCAATGATTTGATGTTTTGTGCTTGTTTTCGAGGAAAAGTGGTTGACCCGTACGACTTCCAAGGCCCCTACTGCCGTCGAATTAAAAACATAATTATGAGGACAGCTGGAGGTTCTAGAAGCAGATGCGTTGGAAGGGATGCGTGGAAGGCACGCTTGAATCTGGGGTGTAGGTTTAAAAAATTGTTTGAATTCAACGCCTCGGATTTGATCTACAATGGAGGGTTCAGATTGACTGAGTTTTGATCTAATGGCTGGGGTTCGTCCTGGACCTCTATAAAAGGTAAGAAAATCCCATTTTTCAGGACTTTTGAAAATTTGCAATTTGATTCTCTCTCAAAATCTCGAACTTTCTGGCGTCAAGGCTGCCTGTTCTTTGATTTTCCGGCCTATCTCCGTTCGCGTAGTGTTCTTCCCTTAGGTATTATTTGCAGAAAAGCCCTTTTTGTTGTGTTAATTATATGAAATGGAGTCCACCTCGAGTAGGGAGCTGGTGACTGTAGCATCGTTAAATTATGGGGTCAGTC